TTCATTACGCAGAAAGTGAAAAACAAGGATCACATCTTGCTTATGTATATAGCAATATGTTGCTAGCAAACAGCACATCCTTAAATGACTAGTAAGATGTCCATGGCGCAGAAATAGGAAAACAAGGACCAAATCCTGTGCCCCTATATATAGTGGGTCACCCCCAACTCCCACACATTGTCTCTATGGCTGGGGTAGTGGGGATATAGCACACAGCACATCCTGTACTATCTGAACGGGCATACAGGGACCTGTTCTCGCTATGTATGGTTCTATATAGAGCTTCTGGGTTTAAATCACTTCAAGTGCTGAGGGCCTCAGAGATATGCAGGCAGTCAACCGAGGCCCACATCAACTGTACTCATATATTGCCGCTAATACATGTAGAATAAATGTGCGAACGGCGGACTCAATATACAAGTACTCGAGAATATCACAATGGCTTCAAATAGAAACATATGTAGCACGACTATAGACTACAGATCACTGACTCAGTCTTTTAAATCTCCAGTCCTGTACAACAAAATGTCACATGTGTGTACTATTATGTGCTGAGAAAGCCACCCCACAGTACTATGTACTGAGTAAGCCACCCCACAGTACTATGTACTGAGCAAGCCACCCCACAGTACTATGTACTAAGCAAGCCACCCCACAGTACTATGTACTAAGCAAGCCACCCCACAGTACTATGTACTAAGCAAGCCACCCCACAGTACTATGTACTAAGCAAGCCACCCCACAGTACTATGTACTAAGCAAGCCACCCCACAGTACTATGCGAATGAGGCCACGGAATAAGCTATCTGGCCCATTTGGACTACATGGCACCCTAAACCCTGCGTGGTGTATGTACAGTATAGCAACTACAAGGACTACTACTAGTACAGACAGTTCATCTGTTGAGTCTTCATCAATAGCACTGTATGCTGAATGCATAAACACCTACCCTACGACCGATACATCGACCATGATATTTATGAAATGACTGCAACACCAAACGAAGCCACTAGAGACTACGCAAATAAACGTACGCATCTACGTAAATAAACGCACTCATCAGAGGCTACGTAAATAAACGTACCTAGAAGAAGCTACGTAGAATAATGCTATCTACACATGCGTACGAGGTGTGAAATTTTGTATCATGTGGCAAACATATGGACAGACACACACCTCACGGGTCAGATAAGCAAATATTCAGAGCATAAACACATACTACAAAAACCACGCGCATAGACCTAGTAAAAAAAAAAAAGAAAGGAGAATAAACGTATCCTGTATAGCAGATTGGGAATAAACGTACCCTGTAAAGACCAGAAAGACCTTCTTCCCGGGCTATCGTGGTGATGGCGTGTATGGCATTTTTGTACTTTCCGTTTGATTGAGCTTGCATCCGCACCTGTCAAGGTAAATGACCAACCGTAAGAACTCAGTAGGCTCTGTGCACTCGCCACAGTCCCTTTGTTAGCACTAAATAGGCCGTATGCTAGATCCTACGCATACACCATATTAATAGAATGCAACGATACATACACCATATTAATAGAATGCAACGATACATACACCATATTTATAGAATGCAACGATACATACACCATATTAATAGAATGCAACGATGCATACACCAAATTAATAGAATGCAACGATGCATACACCATATTAATAGAATGCAACGATACATACACCATATTAATAGAATGCAACGATACATACACCGTATTAATAGAATGCAACGATGCATACACTATATTAATAGAATGCAACGATGCATACACCAAATTAATAGAATGCAACGATGCATACACCGCATTAATAGAATGCAACGATGCATACACCATATTAATAAAATGATACATTCACCATATTAAAAGAATGCAACGATGCATACACCATATTAATAGAATGCAACGATACATACACCATATTAATAGAATGCAACGATGCATACACCATATTAATAGAATGCAACGATACATACACCATATTAATAGAATACAATGTTACATACACCATATTAATAGAATGCAACATTACATATACCAGTCTATTAGAATGCAACGATACATACCCAGTCTAAAAGTATAGTCTTATACACACTCCATGTTCCCGAACAAACGACCCCTAAAACCCAAAAATCTCAAAAAATATTTGCAACATCCATAGGTCCAGCAATTACTGCAGGTACGCCACCAACGCTGACACCCGAAGCTATTTCTACCTCCAAAACATATATCCACGTACACATATATAAAATATACCCATATATCTATTCCTACACACCTTTAAACAAGTATATATATATATACATATATATATATATACATACATACATATATATATATATACATACATACATATATATATACATACATATATATTATATACATATATCTACACCACTGCCCCTATATAAATAAGCTTATGTCCTCAAACTACAACACACCTTGGCAACATCCGTCGGGTTCGCAATTGCCGCAGCCACGCCTCCTGCGATAATACCCGACGTTACATCCACTCCCAGAGAGGGTCCGTTCGTCGCGCCGAGTTTGCTTCGCAGGTCTTTGTAGAAGCCCATCTTAAGTGTGCCGTAGGTAAGTTGCCGGAGCAACGCTGGCGAGCACCTGTATAAGGAATAGGGAAAGCGACAGGAGACGGTGTGTGACATAGAATACATGGGAAGGAAGACTATGGTAGTGTTATAGCAAATGCGACAGCCAGGACGGAGTGTAGCAAAGAATTCATGGGAAGGAAGGTTGTACTATGACATTCAAAAGACGGAGCCTAGGAAGTGTTATAGCAAAAGTGACAGCCAGAACGGTGTGTGAGATAGAATACATGAGAAAGAAGGTTGTACTAGAATATTTATAAGACTTAGCCTGAAGGTTGGTGTCGTAGTCTAATGCAATCATATACGATAATCGCTGCCTACCTAGGCCGATAAATAGCACCGGCAGAAATGTCCCCCTACAGTGAGAGAACAGTTCAATAAACAGATATAAAAAAACCACCTTACAGCTCCAATAAGATTTATGCTAGAGACATTTCGGTACCTAAATGGACGTGTGCGCAGGTCAACTCACTCTAGACGTTGGGGCGATTGCTGTAAGGCAAATTGGAAACACCATGAAACCGGGCTGTAGAAGTGTGCGGGTGTTTGTGTGTGCTGGTATAAATATAGAACACAACGGTTTGCCCTCAAATGTATCCGAGTTGGAAATCAGGTTTCAAGAGACGGATGATCCGATCGAAACTAGTCTATCTTCTCACGCGCGTGCATTGATAACCATAGCAGCCAGGAACAACACTTGAGATGCCAATACACAGCCATATCCCCTAATTGCTATACACTAATCGCTTATGTGTACATAATATGTACACAATCCAGTACATACACACACTCTAGAGGGCTATGTCAAACCTTGTGCGTAGCTCCATCGAAATGCACAACTTCTAACGCTGGAATGAAAAAAATCATTCGCTTAGAACACAACTCACATCAGATCCACAGGCGAGCCTATGTTCATCCGGCTACCACACTGTATTGGTGTAGTGACCGCTGTCCCTTGCAAGAGTTTATACGGCAGACCGTACGGAAACACTATATACAGTTCTATACTCCGAGAGGCCCATCGTATATGTTCAGGTTAAATTAAATAAACACACGTTACCGAGTCCAAAACATACGCGCCAGGTGTATTGCACAAGTCACGTGCGAGTTATTCATAGCCGCACATACACATACACCTCAATATTTTTGAAATAGGACTCACTCACCCATTATATAACGAGCGGAAGCCCTCCTCCGTACTGATCTTATATAACGCGTGCAACATGCCCCTGTATTGGACACCACTCCCACTACCACTCTGTAGCTGTAATCTGGTCTTTGTCAGATCTATGGGGAATGTGAGGGTCTCGGCCGTGCATGAAGCTAACCCCCCACAGGCGTACCGCCTCCAGTCTGTTGATATGTATTGGAATAGCTAAGTGTAAACTGATTGAAGGTTGTTGATGTTGGGCCATGAAATATACTCTATTTTCACACAAAAAGAAGCACACTCATTGCATGTACTCAAGCTATAAAATAATAATTACACACAGACAAATACACATATACATCCATATATATATATATATATATATATATATATATAGAAGTAAACAACAACACACACACACACACAATATATATA